TTGCTTGTTGCTACTGCTCCCCAAATTACTCTTCATTATTGCTTTGAACTTTCACCACACCCCCACCCCATATAGTAGGGTCTCCACCCCCACTAACCCTAACACTGCCCTCTGTGAAGTTAGGAGTGACCTTTGGTCTCCAAATTTAGTAGTCCTTTCTTGGTCCTCATTTCTCGTGTTAGGACTGCAACACTCCACACAGTAGCTAACCCTTTTCTTTGGGAAGTTACTTTCTACTCTTTGCCTGCTGTACGTACACTACTGTGGTTTCCCTTTTTAACATCCTGGACTCTGTATGGCTCCACTTATTCCTTTCAGTCTCTAACTGTGGTTTTATCCTAAATTGTATCCCTTAGCCTCTTGGAGATTTGTTCCATGCTCATAGCTTCAATCATCATTTCTGCCCAGAATACACCCAAATATAAACAATCCATCCTATCCACCAAATTGCAGTCCTGTATTTCCAATTGTCTACTATACTTCTGAGTATCATTGGATATATAATATTAAGAACCATTTTAATTCAGGGCTACTGTGACACAGCCTTGAGAAATCATTTACCTTCCAAGCTTTAAAACACTTGGCGAGTGCTGTATTTCATCTGTGATTGCTATTTCATCTCTGCCCCAGACTGTGTCAAAATGCCCTGTTTCCCTGTGTTCATGTCATAATCTGGAGATTTAAAAACAAGTGTCATCTTTCCCCCAAGCCAGTTCACACTCAGATTTTCTATTTTTAGCAGCGATGCTAATCTTTCAATCACCCATCTTTGAAATGTTGCTTTCACCAATAATTAGCTCTTCTTCCTTTCTCCCACAGCTAATTAGACACCATTCTTGTCAACTAACCTGTCACAATATTTGCTATTATCCATCCTATCTCCTTAGCCAATTGTTCCCCACATTGACAAACCACGCCTGCTTCCTTCACCAACTCCAGTTCTCCTTTTCTCAAACTATTTTTATCACCTCCAACAATACAAAATACATTGATTAGTATTGAATCAGCATTAGCTTAAATGAATGTCCAATCATCCCAGCTAGATCTTAAATTTCTTAAGAAACAAAATTTTATGATTGTTTGACTCCTGCACTTACTAGATAATAGATGATCAATAACTATTAATAATGACTCTTTTCACTTAAGGAAAAACCCTCCCATTAAACAGCTAGTTGTGAAAGCAGTTTTAAATATAATCATGTTGCTTCAAATTAATTTTGCATAACTTTTAGGATTTAAAGTATGACATGAAAGAGGCAGCTATTATTTTGAAAAAACATCAAACTTAGGAGTTGGTTCTGCTTATTCTATTCTCCAGTCAGGATATGAGTTTCTTAACTTTTAGCTTCCTTGTTGGCTATATTACCTATCAATGGGAGTTTACTGTAAGGTTTAAATGAAGTAATATATGAAAGTGCTTTGGATACTTCAGAACTAATGTAAATGGAAAATCTTGTCACAAAGCACCTAGAATCCACAGCTCATTGTTTGAAAAAAAAAATTCTTTTGTTAACCACCTCAGTAGAAATTCCTGAAATCTCACAACTTTTCTTTGCTGTGACCAAAATAATTGACTTAAACAATGTAAAGGAAGAAAGGTGTATTTTGGCTCAGGTTTCAGAGGTTTTTGTTCATGGTTGGCTGGCTCCAAGGCAAAAACATCATGGTGGAAAGGCATGGTGGAGGAAAGCTGTACACTCATGGCGTCTAGAAAGCAGAGATCAGGGGAAGAGACCAAGAGGAAAGGGCTGAGGACTAGATATGGTCCTCAGGGTTGTGCCCAATAACCCACCCAGACATACCTGCTTTAGATTAGTGCTTTACTAATCTCCTAGATATCTCTCAAGCCAATCAAGTTGACAGTCAAGATTAACCATCACGCTCTGCAAGCTGGTTGGAAGACCTGCTGCAAGATGCCCCTACACCATACCAGTGTGACTGGGTCAACCTCCCTCCCCACAGTGTCTTCCCGGAAGGCCCAGACCGAGGCAGGCCGTTCTCACTTTTTTGAATGAGTGACCAGTAGACAGATATATCAAAGGTCCTTTCTTGAAGGAATGCCGTTGCTGACAAGTATTGAGAAATTCATAGCCGGGGATTTAGCTCAGTGGTTCCACCGCCTGCCTCGCAAGCAGAAGGACCCGAGTTCGATCCCCAGTACAAAAAAAAAAGAAATTCATGCAGTGAGAATCTTCCTGAAAATAGCAAATTCTATCTCTGTCTGAATACTACTTGCAGGGTTTCCTGTGTCCCCACAGGTGGGGAGCCACTTCCCCTGGCACTAAAAGTGCTTCTTTTAGCAAGAATCATGCTGCCTTAGGATGTATTTGTTTCTAAATATGCCTGCCATGTGAGTCTGTGGGCATCATAAAAGAAATTGCAATTCGTTCTTAGTTTTTTGCACGTATTTCTTTGTTTTTATAATTCATTTATTTTTATGTCTTTTCCTCAACAAAGCCTGGCACTTAGTTCTTTCTCAGTGAGTACTGCCTCGATGAACAAATGTGGAGGAAGGAATGCTTCAGTGGCACCTCTAAATGGTGATGTTTTAGTCTTTTTATTTCCCTTTATCCTTTTCTGAATGAAGCAGAGTAACTACTGGCCCCAAAGAGCTTTAGCTGTGCTGGACTAGACAGGGCTTAGGATGACTCCCATTCATTGACTCTTGATCTACTCATTCACGGAAGCAGCCATGCTTCTGTAGAGGTCCCTTCTCCACATCTGTCCTCTGCATGTTGACCACCCATGGGGTGACTGCAGGTCGGGTCTTCCAAAAGGTCTCTCTCCTCCACCTGAAAAGAATTGTTTTTCAGTGCTCTATTTTTGAGAAACTCTTATAAAAGGAAAATTACTTGGTGAACTCATTTGAATTGTTAAGGAAAAGCAAATTGCATGCTTTACCTTATCCTGGCATGTTCACGTTTGAAAAAAGAAGGTAAAGGTGACGATGAGGAAAAACTACTTTGAGGATAGAAAAAGGTTATCCAAAGGGATGAATTTTTAAAGGCCGATCAGTGTGATTGGTAGTTGGGATGGGGAGAAGAGAGAGGCCTTAGAGAAGCAGTGCTTTTCCTTGACCTCTGGAAACCTCCTTGTAGGCCTGGCCCTGCTTACAAAAGAACAAAAGAGATCTGTTTCACTTCAAGATGCCCCATGGTCTCTCTCCTCTCCTCTCCTCTCCTCTCCTCTCCTCTCCTCTCCTCTGTGTGCTACATTGCAAAAGTGTTGTAGGAGAAACGGAACCATTTTTCTGCCCACAGAAAGGCTGTCCACTGAAATGTCACTGGGAGCAGTGGTGGTGGGTAGAAAGTGTGTGGAGAGCAGACTGCTGGGGGTGTGCCAGGACCGTGGTAAAGAGCCCTCCCTCATCTCTCCTCCCTATTCACACCCAGCCAGCTTGAGGCAAGTTGGCTGTGAGGCAGGGCTAGCCCTTTGCCCTGCCATGTTCCCATGTCACCTCTTTAACTTGAATTGTTATTGGAGTACGTGACTTTTTCAACACAGGTTGAGCATCCCTAACCCGAAATACAAAATACAAGACTTTTTGAGCGCTGACTTAACACAAGTGGAAAATTCCACACCATAAAACTTTCTTTTATGCATAAAATTATTTAAAATTATTCCCTAAAATTACCCTTGGACTATGTATAAAAGTGCATATGAAACATGAATGAATTTTATGTTTGACTTGGGTCCTATTTCTGAAATATCTCATCACGTATAATCTTCCAGAATCCAAGAGAAATCCAAATACTCCTCGTCTCAGGTATTTTGGCCAAGGGATATGCAACCAGCTCCTCTGACACTCAGGGACTTTGTTTTCTTCTGAGCAAATGACTGAGATTCAACTCTGGAAGCTGGCAGCATAAGCCACCATGACTTACAGCTGGTTGTGAGATGGGAAGTTTGTTCCTTATTTTCTCTTCCTGAGAACTGATTGACATAACATCTCATAAAAGCCATTCACTGCTTGCCTAATTAGAAGATAAGTTTGCACAGATTCTTCAGCAAGTCTTATGCTTTTTTCATATCCTGGTGACTGAAATGTTCAAAATATTTTCTTTTTTATGTCACATTTGCAGCACAGTGACTTTAGTCTCTATAACTTTGTTGTTGTTGTTGTTGTTGTTTCTAACAAATGATATCATACAAAACAGTTTAATCCAAATGTCCTCTCCAGGGTTTGTTGGCACAGCCACCAGGGCCTCAGTTCTGTGTATGTTTAGAGGCAGGTCACATTTTTGTCCAGATTCATATGACACTAGCTGGGGTTGCACAGACCTGCCATGCTTTCAAAAGTACCGCTTAAGGTACTGTTTTCAGTGTAGCTGTCCCTTCACAGCAGCAGGAGCATTTGTATGACTGGCGTATACATCTGTAGGTTCCAGCTGAGACAAAATTGTGCAGGACATCAAAATATGCACCCAGTCAATGCTACCCAAAAGAGAACAGGTACTTCATGGAGTCCTCTGTACGCTCAAGTCTGTTTCAAAGTCATGGAATAGCTGGCGTAGCCCCCATAGGTACACCCATACAGATATGGTTTCTGGAGTCTGATCTATGAATATGTGAACTGTTCTCAGAGATGGAAACAATTTTCCCTAACTAAAATGGACTGTCAATAAGTACCATTGGCATAGCCATCTGTCTTGTCTCATTTAAGAACCCAAAGGTACCAGACATGATGGCCACACCATAATCTCAGCTACTCAGGAGTCTGAGGCACAAAGATTGCAAGTTTGATGCCAGCCTAGGTGACTTACTAAGAACCTGTCTCAAAACAATATTTTAAAAGGGGGCTGGGGCTGAGGATACAGCTCAATGGCAGAGCATTTGCCTAGTGTGCAGGAGGCCCGGAGCCCTATCCCCAGGGACACACACATACACACACACACACCCACACACACACGAATCCCAATGCCAGATGGGAGCTCACAGTCACAGCAGCTCAGCGCCCTGCAGAGTTCAGTGGTGTGTGTGTTTGTGTCCCTTTCCTACAGCTATCGACCTGCTCTACTGGCGGGACATCAAGCAGACAGGGATCGTGTTTGGAAGCTTCCTGCTGCTGCTCTTCTCCCTGACCCAGTTCAGCGTGGTGAGCGTCGTGGCCTACCTGGCCCTGGCTGCACTGTCAGCCACCATCAGTTTCCGCATCTACAAGTCGGTGTTACAAGCTGTGCAGAAAACCGACGAGGGTCACCCTTTCAAGTGAGTGCCCCTGCCTGACTGGCCCTGGGTACCTCCCCTGCACTCTGCCCTGCTTTTGTTCCAGTCCAGGGGGCCCTGCATGTGAATCTCTGAGACCCAAGACCTCTTAGCATCCTCCAAGGCCTGTCTTTAATATCTAATACTGCTTGGCACATTCCTGCTACAACCTAGTCGCTCTTATTCTAACACTTATTGCTGTGTTGAATTTTTATAGTTTAATTTTTACTAATAGTAATTATAATCCATCATATGTGTATAATGTTTTATAATTTAAAGAGTATCCTAACAATGACCTAATCCTCCTGACTCTGTGAGGAAGATGGAGCCACCGTTAAAGTCCCTATTTACAGGTGGAAAGACTGAAGTCCCAAAGGTAAAGTGGCATGCCCACACACAGCCGGTAAGTGTCAGGACAGGACTAAGGTGGTTGGATTTTTAGTTCTCCCCTCTCTCTCTCTGCCTGTCTTTCTTTCCCTCTCTCTCCCATTTTAACACCAAAGAGCCAAGCTTCTGAGGGGCTTGAGATGCATGAACAGTCTTATCATACCCCTGTGTTTCTCCTCTGTATTTTTGCACTGGAAATATCCAATTAGGCTGAATACCAGAAAGAAGAAAATCATTTGAAAAGGAGAAATCTACTAAGAGGATATATGACATGAGGCAGAAGGCAGAGCTAGCCTGGCCAGCTGCCTCTACCCAACTCCACCGAAGGATTTCCTGACTCCAGATAGAGAGGCTGGGTGCTCAGAGCACAGACTGCCAACACTACTCTCTCTCCTGCTGGCTTGTCCAGAGTGTGGGTTCCCTCCAGGTGTCCTTGCCTCCTGTAACAGAGGGACAGTTCTGGGGCTTTGATGAGATGTGTAGACCACACTGCAGAACAGCATCTGGGGCACTGGGCATGGCCCTAGTTTGCCCTTACCAGTCAGCTGAATTGAGACTTCAGTGACACCAGGGGCTTAGCAAAGGAAAGGATGCTCATTTATGGGGCTTTGTAGACTAGATGCAAGGGCCAAACTGTCCTTCCCAGGCTTGGGGTCTTGATCTCACTGTCAAACACAGTTGCAGCCTGGGCTTTCTTGCCCTTTGGGTAAATTTCTTGAGGTGAGGTAATGGCACTTCTGGGCTGTGGTGTGGCCACACCAGTTCCCATTGCAAAGGTGGGGAGAGCAGAGAGGTAGGGTGTCTTGTCCACTTCCACCAGGGCATACACTAAATCCGCTTCAGAGACTCTCACCAGGGCCCAGGGTCCATGTCTTTATCTTTGCTCAGGCCATGGGAAGCTCTACCATGTTCTACCACATTCTGGGCCTCTGAGGCAGTAACCAGGGGTGAGGGAGCCTTATCTCTCATTTCCCTTATTTCTTCTAACACCCGGTTACGGGAACAAGTGTCTAACTACTATTAGGTCAACTACTTTATCTTCCCTTAGGAGTTAAATTTAAAATACAAAACTTGCTTTTGGCTGTGTCATCTTTATCATCAAAAAGAATATCTGACTTGGTACATATTTAATCAGAACACACTATCTTAGACAAATTGCTAGTTTTGCATTTTTTATAAAGAGGACAAAAATCCATAACCTTCATATATTAAAGCCTGACTCAGTCAGTTTAGGCTCCTATCATGAAGTGCCACTGGGTGGTGTAAGCAAAAGAAATTTATTTCTCACAGTGGAGGAGGCCGGAAGTCTGAGGTCAGGCTGCCCCCTTCCTTAGGCTGCAGACTGTGATCTTCTGATTGTTTTCTCACAAGCCAGGAAGAGGGTGAGAGCTTTCTGGGTCCCTTTTCTAAAAGGCAATAATTCCATTCATAAGGGCTCTGCTGCTTTGACCCCACCACCTCACTAATGCCATTACTAGTAAAATACTACTAAAAATTACTACTAAAATTACTACTAAAAAAACTGCTCACTAGAATCTATGAGTATTTTATTATGGTCCAGGTCACTTGAGTTTTCAGAGTTCCTGAGATAAACTTAGAAGTGAATTCCAGAATTCCATGAATTCTTATAATTTGATGGGTAACAGTAATTGTCAGCTAGATTTTTCAGACAGCTCAACTATTTAGAGAAGATAGTTCATCTCTATGCAGAATTCAGCAAGTGAGCTGATTTTGCTACAGTCTCAGTGGTCACACATTGCTGTACTGTCTGTGGTGCAGAGTCACAGGGCTCCCTCCCCAGGGGGACTGTGACTCTACATTCCCCAGGGCTCTGGCAGACTGCCATCGTGCCTGGGGTGCTATCTCTCTGAGGCACTCTCTGGGGCATCTTGACAGGGCCTACCTGGAGCTGGAAATCACCTTGTCCCAGGAGCAGATCCAGAAGTACACCGACTGCCTGCAGCTCTATGTGAACAGCACGCTGAAGGAGCTGCGGAGGCTCTTTCTTGTCCAGGACCTCGTGGATTCCTTAAAAGTAGGACTGCTTAAGCCCTTTGCTTGACAGACTGGAGTTCTGTTTTCCCTAGAGGTAGAGAGTTAGAAACCAGCGCATTGCAGACCGTACAATGGAGGTGGTGATTCTATTCTAGAGTCAGAAAACCTCCGGACATGCGGCATCATGGCGTTCAGCCAGTTCCCTTCAATACTGTTCAGAAGGATTGAGACACTTACCCAAGGTTGTCCCATAGTTACTGACGGAGCATGTGTACGTCACACAGCTACTGCGAGTATTTCTGTACTTTTTTTTACAGCATACCAGGATGTTTATTCTTAAACTATTTAAAATTCCTCAGCCAATTCCCTAAAATTAATTCTTAAAATTCTAGATTGGGAATGTTAAAACATACATGCTCCCTCACTGGAAGAAACTCTAGACTGTGCTAATACTGACTCTTCCAGTGTCCTGGAGCTGAACCATCTGAAGGTGGGAGTTGGCCTGACCTCATGCATGGCAAGGGTCTGGGCCGCCCAGGCTTCATTGTCTGTGCTCTCACTGGGGCCATGGGGTTTCTCTGAACAAGTTGCTTTGGCTCCCTGTGACTTATGTGTACAGCAACATCCATGAACCATGATTCAGCAAGGCCGCCAGCGGAGAGGGGGCAGCTGGGTGAGGGTATGCGTTTTCTGTCCTGCAGTACTTCGTGCACACGCACACCAAGCAGGGTTCTGCACCAGGATGGGCAGAGGGAAACATGAGAGGTGTGGGCTGGACCCTCAAGGTGCTTCACAGGAATAATGACTCACTAACTACTGACCCTAGTGCTTTTAGGGTAGAGTTCATATTGTCATGCAAAAATTGTGGGCTGGACCAGGGTCAGGGAACCCTACCACTAAAGGACCAGGTGGTCAGTATTTTGGGTTTTGCAGACCTTGTTATATACCCAGCCTCACTGTGGCATAAAAGCAGCAAAAGACAACAAACACATCAATGAAGGCCTGTGACAGTGTACCAATGAACACTGAAAATTGAATTTGATATCATTTCATATATCCAAACATATTTTTCTCGTTTTGATTTTATTTGACCACTTAAAAATGTACAAACTCTTATTAACTTGTGGGCCCATACAGAAATGGGTCAAGGGCCATAGTTTGCCAACCTCTGGCCTAGACTGTTATCTCATGGCATCCCTGGAATCTTCCAATAATGGGATCCAGAGGTGCCAGAGACCTAAGGGCAGTCCAGTCAGGAATTCCATGATGGGATTTGACCACTTTACTGCTCTTTTGTTTTCTTTCATTTTCTATCGCCCCTAATTTGAATCGAAAAGTTATCATTAGGAATTCTAATTAGAAAAAGTGGAAATGCTAACTAGAGAGACTCTCATTCTGATCTAAAATGAAGTCAGTGGAAGACACTGTTGTCTGCCAGGAAGGGTCTCGGGACTCCTGACGACCCCTATGCTCCTCAGTTTGCAGTGCTGATGTGGCTCCTGACCTACGTGGGCGCGCTCTTCAATGGCCTAACCCTGCTGCTCATGGGTAAGACAGACCAAAGCAGAGTTATGTTTCCTTCCCGTGCTTCGACAGTGTCACGCTGTCCGAGCTATGGGCTTTTAGCTTGTTTTGGTAGATTCCTAGGAATGAGTGCCAGCTATCCCTGAGAGCAAAGCACTTCCCTCATCATCGAAGTTCAATTAGAGAGTATAACATACATTACACATTAATAACAAATTTCTAAGTTGAAGCTTTCTTTTTCTTCAACCACAACTGGTGGTATTTAACTTCTAACATACATCTGTTTATACTGTTACATGCCATCTATCCATGTGGCAGTTATGGATAGAGACTCATTTTCATCTTGGGAGGGCTCAGTCTATACTCATTGTAGAAATAATGACATAATATCTGGAAAGGGCTCAGCATTCTGTTGTTTTTTCTTATGACTTGCCCTATCTTCTTTTATTTAGAGTTCTTATTCCAAATAATGTATCACACACATGTATATATAATGCTATGGTGTCACCATATATCTATAACTATCAGAATTTTAATGTTATATCTGCTACTCTTGTTGATTCATATTGGTAACACTCAGAATTTTAATACTGTATTTGTTTTTCACCCCAGCTGTGGTGTCAATGTTTACTCTACCTGTAGTGTATGTTAAGCACCAGGTAAGTTCCATATGACACCAGACATTCACAGTAAATTTTGATTTCATGGTCTTTGGATGTGCTCATGATCTCTTTCTCTTTGTAGGCACAGATTGACCAATATCTGGGACTTGTGAGGACTCACATAAATGCTGTGGTGGCAAAGTAAGTTACATAGTCCCATTCATATAAAGATGCCACTGTTTAATCAGGCATTTGAATGAATTAAGTAAGTTTAACAAAATGATAGTAAAATAATGTGTTAATTTATAATCATTCACTCCAATCCTATGTTCATTCTATTCTCAATTATATTATTTCAGAAAATGAGTATAAATTGCAAACTCTCAATTAAATAAGTCCTTGTCATTTAAACCATTAAGATTATTTTTAAAACTTTAAAATGTAAAATTTTTGTTCCCTATAAATTTTACCTATGCCATTTCAACTACTCAAGTGTATGTTTGCTTGTTTAATTAATATTGCTCTTCAAAACCGGAGTATTGGACAGACTGTACTTCCTGCTACCTGACAGATTAGGAGATGAAGATTTCAGTTTCATGTATCCACAGCCAACACGACCATTTAACTTGGTAGTTTTTTCTAATTCTTATGTTAGTGTTTTAGCTTTGCTTCCACTACAATGCTAGCTTTATTTTTTATTAGTATTCAACTTTGTTTTAATCAAGTCAAGCTAATTTTCAACTATAAATACATGTCACCAAAGGACTAGACTCTGTCAATATAAATCCATCTAGTAATCAGATAATTATGTGCCTTGACCTGGATAATAGTTAGGGAGATATTTTATATAGTCAAAGATATAATAACAAAATAAACAAGACAACCACTTTAAATTCTTTGTATTAGATTACATGTCATCAGCTAAAGTCCTTTCTTGATATGTATAAAAATTTTTATTTCCATTATACCATTTATATTCCTTTTAAACTTATGAGGAACTCGTTGGGTTCTGTGGTGAATTTGGATCTGTAACACAGATCTGTAACAGATCTGCAGCACATTTCCAAATGCTTGAAGTTATTAGCTTGGACTGAAGTGTAACTAACGTCTGATGAAAATCAACAAACAGAAGATAAAATAGGCCAATAAAAGTAATAATATAATACAAAAGAAGATAAAATAGTCATTTTATATAAGGAATGGCAGTCTGGGATAGCATGAAGTTTACTGGTATCCAAACCTGGGGAACCTGTTTAAAAATACAAATTCTGAGACCCCACAAAGACACATAGAATTCTAAATTCTAGGATTAGGGACCTGGAAATTATATTTTAATTACCTCCACCATGTGACTTTGGCAGATAGAACCGTATTCAGGAATTACAGCACAGAAGACCAGAATAGGAGTTTGGAACCTGCAAGATAGCTGTTCAATTCTTAAGTTGTCTATTACTTCATTTAGGGATCCTAAACAAATCACATTTATTAATTTTTATTTGATTGGTTGACTGATTCCAAAATAGAGGAATAACTATTATGTTCTGGATGCTTCATGTAACAAGCACAGAGGATAGAAAGATGAATGAAATGCTCTCGGTCAGTTCTAGGAAAGTTTTCAGCCCATTGGTACAGACAGAATTGTAAAGAAATAAATGTAAAACAATATAAGGACTACAGTAAAGTTGTATAAAATATTAAAGTCAAAGAGATGAGGAAACAATTATTTCTTCCTAGAGTGGATAATGGAAAGCCACTAAGAGAACGTGGCATTTAGCATGGGCCCTAAGGGTTGGATAAACATTCATCTGGTGGATGCTAGGGGAAAAGCTATTGCAAGCAGAAGAAATAATATAAGCAAAGATGGAGACCTGATAATATAAGTCAGGTTTAGGAAGCAGTGAGTCAGATAGTGTATCTAAAATTCCACAAGGAAAGATCAACTAGAAAGAATGTAGAAAGTGAGGCTGAGGCGAGATGTGCATGCTCTGAGTTTTGACCCTGACCTAACAGGAAATGGCTAGTCCTTGATGTTGCTGAACAAGTCATTGATGTAATGAGAATTCCATTTTGTGAAGCTCAACATGACAGTGTAGTAAAAGAAGAATTGAAGAGGGGAGAGATCAGAGACGTGGTAATCAGCTACAAAGCTGTCATGATTCAGACAAATTAATAAGGCCAAAAGCTCGATAAAATGAAGAGACTCTCTTATACCTATACATGCACCATGCAGTTAAGCTACAGTTGGAAATCAAGGCAGTAAAGAGGAATAGAAAATATATGTTGACTACATGGACTAATGCACCTACTACAAATCATTTCCACTCCAAGCTTTCTGGTGGCTAGGACAAAAATGGGGGAAAGGTTATGCCTTGTTAACAGAAAGGAGGAAACAGCAGCTCTTCAAAAGAACCTGGTTTGTCTGGTACAAAAATTTGAAAGATATTACATGTTGGGTTCTTACTTCTTCGGGCTCTTCAACCTCTGAAATGCAAGAGTTTATATTACTTTAATGAACAGTCAAGAACACAATTATTGGAATCAGATAAACTAGTATGAGTCCATTCCAGGCATTTTTGCTATCTGAGTTCTTTAATAATAAACATTGTTTGTTTTTATGAACCTCTTTTCTTATCTGTAAATTGGAAATGTTAATACTCATCAACCCTCACAGAGTTGTTGGTGGTTAAATGAGACAGTATCCATGAAGTATTCTTATTTGGGCATAGGATAAATACATATAAGATAGTCTCATCCTCATCCTTAATCCTACTACTTCTCGGAGATCTGTTCTAGGGTGTTAGGGATAGTTCTAGACTACATCAAGAGACCCTACTGCCAGTCTTGCCTCCATACTGAATGACCCTGTCCAGGTCATTTAATCTTTCTTTATGTCAGTCTTCCAGTTCCAAAATGGGGCTAATATCTAATAGCACTTCTTAGAGTTTTGAAAAGGAGAAGAAAGAGCCTCAAAATAGAAAAGACAAAATACATATTGTAGAGGAAATTGAAGCTTTAACTAAAAACATTAGAAATCGGCTCTAAGTGAATACGGTTCTCTGTATCCAGTGAGTCTGGTGTGGGTGGTAAAACGGCCTGTGATTTCATGTAAAAACTCCTTCGGTTATCTCTGATAAATCTTACAGAATGAAGGACATTCCTGAAAACGGAAACTGAACAGGAGCTATTATGATTTTCAAATAAGAACAAAGAATAAATTCTGGAGCTTATTTTTAAATAAATTAAATGCCTAACTTTAAGCAAAATTCTAGAATGAATTCATAAAAATATAATACTCAGAGTATGTTCAGAGAGACCCCATGGATCTCTCTCATTTGGCTAAGGACTATTCTGATTTCAGACGGGCATTCAACAAGTCTCCCTGTGGCCTTGAATAGAAAAATGGAGACATACAGTCTAGATGAAAGCAGTTTTTCGGGAATTAAAAGGTTGAAGAATAGAGCCACGGGATGTTCATTAAGCCATCAAATATCTATCTGAGGTGAAATTCAGAGGCTTTCCTTTGACCCCATTGCTTTCAACCCCATTACTTCTCATGATTTTGGGAACATAAATATAATTATCTAAGTTCTAGGTGACACACAGATTGGAGCAAGAGCAAACTTAGTAAAGGACAAGATGAAGATTCACAGTGAATCAAGGGATCTTGAGTAAGCTAACCTACTGGATTGGGATCAATAAAATGAAATTAATAGGGGAAGTAAAGTTCGATATCTGGATTTTTAAAAAGTCAACTTTGCAAATACAGAATGGGGGAGGGGTGGATGGACTAGACTATAACCACAGTGTGTGTACATATATAACTGATGAATTGGGCACAGCCAAGTACGAGTGTGTCTTAGTCGTGTTCTCATCACTAGGACACAATACCCACACCCACAACTTAAAGGAGGGTTTATTTTGACTCAGAGTTTCAGAAGTTTCAGTCCACAGTCAGCGGCTCCAAGGCAGAACCGTTTTGCAGAGCAGTGTAGGGGAAGAAAGCTGCTATGTCATAGTGGCCAGGAAGCAGAGAGAAGGGAGAAGCTGGGGAGGAAGATGAGCCCTCCCAGGTCGTATCCCCAGTGCACAGCCTCTTCTGAGCAGACCCAGCTCCTAACAGCACATTTAGCTATGAATTCATAATCCAATCACTTTCGAAAAGCCCTGCCTGTATTCGCATGAGCCGCTTGGGGGATGTCTCCATCTAAAGCACAGCAGGATCACTGATATGCTGAGACATCTTTTTTAACAAGATGTTATAATAGAAGTGTGAAGTCTAAACCAAAAGAAGCTACAGTCTCTGTATTCTAATACTCCTCATTCCGTATCTGTGTTTAATGTATTTTGGAGTTGGACATTTTAAGAGGTGCATCAGTATACAAGAGTAGTCCAGGAAAATGCCCAGGATATTTGGGCATCAGACCTGAAGTAATGACCAATAAAGGGCAAACTTCACTAGGGATGATTACCCTGGGAGTGAGATGACATTGAAAGTATTCAATAGACACCCCAAATATTTGGAGTAGGCTTACTCTTCTTCTCTGAAGAGCAGTGAGTGGAAATTCTAGAAGCTCTGAGATTTGAAAGACATTTGACGGAAACAGTAGCAATTTGAGTTGTTCAACATGGAAACCACTTGGCCCTTGGAGCAGTGGACCCCTTGGCATTCATTCAAGCATGAGTAGAAGTTAGCTGGCCACTATTACTTATATCCTCTCCTGGCTCCTCTTCCTCTCATCTACCTCTCTCCTGGTCCTGTAACTCCAAAGGTTAACTCAGAGTAGAGGGTTCCAAACTTTGTCTCCAAGCACAGATCGCCTCGGCTGAGCACCAGTCCTGTTTACCTGCTCACGTAGTATTTTCTTGTGTTTGTCTCATAAACATTTCAGATTCACATGGCCAAACATCTTGTAGTTCCATAGCAGAACCTGTTGTGTCTGCAGTCCTCAACATCTTGGTAAATGGCATTACCATTCACCTGCTTCCCAGGCTAAAAACTGAAAACCCTTCCTTAACCATTCTTCCTGTATCCTTGCTCACACATTCAGTCCACCACCATGCCAGGGGGGTCCCCTCAACCCCAGCTCCAGTACAGATCTCTAGGCTGTTCGCCTGTCTGCTACTTTACCTACCATGTAACCCTGGACATGACCATCTCAGACTACTACTATTTCCCTATTTTTTCACACAGCCACCATCATAATCTTGAAATATGAATCATATCATCCCTGCCTAAAATGTGTCAATGACTTCCCACGTCACAGAGTCGAGTCCAGCCCTTATCGCCAACTGTGAGGTCAAACACCACTGGCTACTCCAGCCCCACCCCTCCTCCCTCCAAGCCCACCAGCCACACCCAAGCTTGGCTTCTTTTTTCTTTCTTTTTTTTTTTTTGGTATCGGGGATCAAACTCAGGTCCTTGCGCTTGCGAGGCAGGGGACAGAACCACTGAGTTAAATCCCCGGCCCAACTTGGCTTCTTTTTAGAGTCTCTGCACTCCCTGTTTCATCTGCCTAAAACCTCCAGATCTCTGTGTGACAGTTTGGGCTCCTTCCTGAGCTCTGGGCATCTGTTTCTAGGATCAGTGGATTTAAAATAGGAACACCCACTTTACCGCTGAGCCCCTCCCTTCCTATCACAAAGACTGGTTTTGTTCTGTAGCATGTGTCACTATCTGAACTTCCCTTGTCTGTTTGCTGATTTCTTGTCTCTGAACCCCTGCAAAAGTGAAAACTCCATGAGAGCGGGCTCCTCTTCTCTTTTGTTGGGCACTCAACTCCAGAATGCGGCACCCTGCCTGGCACAGAGAAGCTTTCAATTACACCCTACATGGTACACTCATAAAGCTTCAACTTAACAAAGGAAAGGATTCTGATGTAAATGCATCCTCAAACCCTGCGCCAGAACATGAGCATTAGTGATTTTAGGAGCCTCAGTGAAGTCTGATCCATACCCAGTTGTTAAGATGAGCCTTGAAGACCAGAAAAGTCCATCAGCTGAATGAGCAACATAGCTGGGACTAAGACCCTGATTTCTTACTTCCGTTCGGGTTAATTTGACCACACTGTAGGTGAATGTAGGTCCCTTAACCTGGAACCAACCCGCCTTACGTTTGTCTTCCTGGCGTAGTGCCCATTCTCTTCAGAAGTACCCTACCCCAAATCTAGTGATCAGTCACCATGTTCATCTAGCTAAAAAGTCATACTCTAAAGGACACACAGCTTTCTTAAGTCATTCATTATCCAATTTTTACTTCCTTTTTATTGTTTTATGCAAGAATGTTTAGAGACACACACACATAAAACTATGTCTTCTGAAATATTAAGCTATTTGGTCACTTAGCTATTTAAAGCAATATATGATGTGTGTAAATACCGAATCATTTCTCTGGTGTGAAAAACTGAAGGTGTAAATGAGGACCAAAATGTATAATAGATATTGTGAAATAGGAAGAAAAGGTTTAAAGGGAAAGGGGAACTAGGGAGGGGGGCAAGGAAAAGGAAAGAAAAAATTGAAAGTAAGAAGGGGAAAATGGAAACAAAACTCATGTATATAGGGGAGATGGAGGGGTTAAAGGGAGGGCAGGGGAAGGGAAAAAATAAGAATCAAGATGCATCAGGTACAGGTACAAATTCTCAGTGATGAATGTGACCATAAGGTCTCCCTAAATGCAGCAATAAACTCAATACAATTTTTTGAAAAAAGCAACACATGATGACCATATAAAATGATTTCCTTACTAGGGTTTGCGGTTTAACTCTTTAATGTTACCTTTTCAGGGTCCAGGCTAAGATCCCAGGTGCCAAAAGGCGCGCCGAGTAGGCGGCTGTCCCGGCGGGGACTGGACGCACACAGGGACGTCTGAGTGGTGACAGCTCTCGTCTTGGCCGTTGCTGCGAATCGGTTGTTTTCCCCCAGCACCATGATCGTAGAGGCAAACTCTGAAACAGCTGTTTTTAGGCTGTCCTTGTACTCTTAGGATATTTGAGTCCCGTGTCGAGCACTAAAGTATAGAGAAAAGTGTATTAGATGTGCTTTTTCATTTCGTGTTGCTAACGAAAGTGCATGATGGTGCGAGCCCGCGTTACCGTTCCTTCCCCGGCGCCCCCTCCTCCCTGCAATGCTTCTGTAGCTTCTCATGTCCCTGTGGCCAGGCCTTTCCTGCCAAGTGCTGACGCAATAGTGGAAACCGCTTCTATGTCCTTTGGTTGCTGGTTGGATTAATCTTTAATAACACTATATAGAATTGTAGACTAATGTTTTAGCATTTTTTCCAAAACACACAACGTAAAAATTAAAAAAAAAATAGTCCACCGCACTTATGGTAATCAGTTTTGTATAACTGAAAGTAATTGCATAAATGAGTAAAACCTAAAATGAACACACGGTACTTTTGTTGTATAGGATTGATGGGCTGATTTACATGTATGGTAACTAAAAAGTACCAGCATGTTAACTTTATTACAATTTGTATTACTTTCTCTGTAGTTCCTAATGGACTTAATTATGGACTCTGGGTATTTGCACTTATGTACTTGAAACTGAATGCATAAATAAATGTTACTAAATGTAGAAAGTTCTGTCTTCTCCTGATCTTACTGGAGGATACAAAAACCATAAGAAGTGAAGTCACTCAACAACATGCTGGGAGAACTAAGGCCACATACTCCCCTTTCTCCTGTTTTCAGGACCGCAGGGCCAACCTTAGCATAATTTATGGTTCTTTTGGGTTTTTAGCATAAATCACTAGAGTAGTAAACTGAAATCTTTTCATACTGTATTCTGTGGGTTACAGGCAAAAATATTAAGCAGTTTTTTAAAAACACGATAATGATGCAAGTCCTTATCATAAGCTTGTTGTGACCATATGCAACACAACACTGGCATAAAACAATCGTAATTGCTATGAGCTCATGCTTTTGGTAATTCCTGAGCACCCACTGATACTGAACACTGTATACTGAACAGGGTTGTGAAACAGAGATGACAGTTCCTGCCTTCACTCTGCTATCTTCTAACCATGGCGCTCTGCTTTTTTGGTACATTTCAGTGTTGGAAACAAAAGTCAAAGATGAAGAGGTAAAGTAAATGAAAGGAGTAGCAGTAGGAGAAAAAAGTAGGAGGAAGAAAAGGGCACAAAGCTGCCTTTATCCAGATTTACTTGGGTGGATATGTACTTAAAGAGTTATCCTTCCATACAAAGCAGTGTGAAGGTCACAGGGGCAGCTTGACACTGTGCCAATGGCCACAATTTCCCATTTTGGTCTTTAGGGCAGAGGGCTGGTGGGTACATGGAAACGCTAACTAGACCAAAGGTAGCCCAAAATCACAGCTGTGGTACAAGCTCATGCAACAGAGGATTCTCAGGGAAGCTGAACTTCAAGCTTGGGTCCTGCCAGATAAAGAGGTTCGCCAAATGAAAGAAAAGCATGACACAGGGAACATGCACAAGACATGCACAAGTGTCTTATACACATGCATACACAGAGGATGGTGAGGGGAGGCCTGGTCAGGGCTGTGGGGGTCTTATGGTGGGAAGGGTAGTGCCCAGTGTTGGTCACACCAGGAGGAAACCTGAATGCTCATTCTGAGGATTGGGGGCTGTATTCCTCAAATCTCAGACTCACACAAAACACTGGAGAGTAGAAGAATACAGGAGATAACTAATGTAATTCTAACAGCATACAGGCACTGAGTGACTGGTCTTCTTCTTGTGCAGGCGTAGTAAGACACTCACGTGTTCCTGATCCTTTGTAGTAGCCTGACAGGCCAAGCACCCACCACGAGTAAGGGTGCTCGTGGAGAGAGAGTGGGCTGGATTTGGGGATTGGTTAGATGTGGGTTTTATGACCAAAGCTGCCCTGCAGAACGAGCACCTTCTTAAATTCTGAATCCCAGCTTCACCCTGGCCCCAGTGACAAGGCTGGCTGAGGAAGAGACTATAATACCATTTGCTAGGTCAGGGGCCTGGAAGAACTGGTGTAAGGAGGGCAGATAGTAAGCTCAGTCCAGTGCCTCATTTGTTTGTTCCCTAAATGCAAAAGATTTCTCAGGCTAGTGATGTAGCTCAGTGGTAGAATGTGTATGCAAGGTCCTGGGTTCAATTTTCTGCACCAAAAGAAAAACAAAAAAGAGAATTTTTTTGGTCTGTATGTTTTTCAGTTCCAGCCTTTGATATAAAGTTTTTTCTATGTGGCTTTATTGTGCAGAATTAATCTTCAGTACTGTCATTCACAGTGTTTTTCTTCCTCCTATTGGTCCAGATGTCCTTTCCCAAACAGCTGGAGGATCTAATTAAGAATGCCCTTTTCTGGCACTGGGGAAGAGATTTTTGAGGAAAGCTTCAAGGTTATAAAACGATAAGTCTGGGCATAGATTCTTAACAAATGGACCATGGACCACAGAACATCCTGTTTGTCCTATAGGAAGCATTAGTCACAGTGACACTGGCAGTGATGGAAATAATGTGTGGACACAGTGAACACGGGAGAAGGGGACCAAGAGCTGAGGCCCTGGGGAACCCAGAGTGAGTGAGGTGACTCTGACTGTGACCTGTAGGAAATTCTGATAGCATATGGATGGGTGAATTAAGTAGGCAAGAGGGGGTAGAAAGGCTATGGTATGTTTGATGGATCATTTCAGGAATAAAAGAAGTAGAACCATTAGTATGTCTTCTCTTTCCATACTCATATTAAATAGGAGTTCGGAGAGTGTTGTTCCGTCATAGCTGCTCTCTAAGTCCCAGTTCAGTTGAGAAATATACTGGTTCAATAAAGGCCAAAGGATCAGTTTCACCGCTGATGAAGTTGCTGGACGATGATGAGAGAAAGGCTTCTAGGATGTCTAACTTAGAGTGGCGATGCCCTGCACATGGTGCTCAATGCAGGAGTCAGAGGCAGGTGATTTGGGGGTCAAAACATACAATCTATAGAGATTTCTAGTAGACAGCACTTTTATGAGTTACATACTATTCTTAAAAAGCAACAAAACTGCCTTTTCTTTATGCCGGTAGTTTTTATGAATCCAAGCTATCAGAGTCCAGCAGGAAGCCACATACTCATAAGGGTACTTGAGAGTTTAATGAAAAAGTGAGGCAGAGCTTGGGAAAAGGAACCAGAGAGCATGGAATACCTGTGTTCTAGCAAGTAGGGGAGCCTTTATCGCCTCAAGGCTTGAAGTGACAGAGGGAAAAGTGTGCCCAGGACCCAGAGGAGGCAGTGCTGTGTAGAGGCCTCCTGACAAGTGCTGCTGTGATTTCTATACACCCAATACCAAATACGCTTCCTCTGTAGAGGAGGGAGGAAGCCAGCCGTCCATGAAGGTTGGGAGGAAGTCTGGGTAATAACCTTTCCGCTGCTCTCTCAGCTATCACAGGAAATTATGTCAAGTGCCATATTCGAAAGATTACTTAAAAAATTAATCAAACGTTTCCATTGAAATTGGAGAGGTTTTGCTTTTACCTCCAGCAGGAGATGCACTTGTTGGGAGTTACTAATTTACCTGTATATTCTTTCGGATTCATGTTGAGGGCAGATATAGCACCTCAGCATGTAAATTTATATAAGGACAAATTACTCAATGGATACGCTGCATCTCCTGTATGATTACTATTCGAAAGGCAGTACTGCTGATTTTTTTTCATATGGCGTCCATCAAATTCCCACAAACTCTATTGTACTTGCTCTGTTCAATAAATATGTTCAAAGCTCTCCAAAATTGCAAGAGAATTTATCACTTTGTCATCTCTCCATGGCAAATTGATCCTGTTTTCCTTTGTCCTAGACAAAGCGTAGTTGTTTTTTCTTTGATTCCCCTAGGAATCAGGAAATAGCACTCAAATACTTGCTATCACAAAATATATTCCCAACAGAAGAAGTGGAGCTCTCTCAGGGATTCTATTGTATTGTTAGGCGACCTGCAGGACTCTTCCTGGGTCCCAAGTTTATGAGAGAATGTTTTACCTCTATTGGGAAGAATAGTTCTAAACCAAGAACATTTTCTCCAGGCCTTTTTAGAACTTTTTCTATATAAAATGTATCTGCTGTTTTTGTTTTCCTTTTAATAAAAAGTTACCTTGTTTCTCAATTTTGTTCTTCAGTTCCTAAAATGAGTATTGTATGAGATGCATCTATCCAATGATTCATTATATAATTTAGCCACTTGATTTATTAATCAGTAAAGTTATTTTGAGGCTACTGAAACGAAAATTCAAATGAATAATATTACATCTTTGAGCCAGACCCTGTGCGGGGTTCTTTGCAAACATTATTTCCAGTCAGAATTTCAAAATTCTTCATGACTCATACTTTCTTTTTTATTGGAGAAATGAGGAAAGTGAATCTCCTCATACATGCATAGTAAACAGTCAGGCCAAGACCTGGATCCCTGACTGTCTGATTTCAAAGTGGAGCATCTTCCACTGAGGCACAGTGCTTGCCAGGGTTTTCTGCTCCTCTCCTGCAATCTCTGGTTCGGAAGCAAGGCTGCCTCCGTGAGACTGTCTGATTGCACGGAGGACATTAACCAGCAGTGGGGATTTACTGGGAGAATACAAGGGAGTCCACGGTCTTAACCAGCAGGGATTGAGTATCTTTATAAACACACAATTTTTCTGCTTGGACCTTCATGGTGCTTAAATGCAGGCATTATGTAACAATCCTGCCATGAATAGAGGTGAAAAAGAAAGCATGCAAAGTTTACAGAGCTTTATGTAATGGCATAATTTGTATTTCTCCTGACCTGGAACACTCACATTGTGACGGGGAAAGAAACTACGAGTAACAGTGAAGCCACACTGACAATTCACTCCATTTCAGAGGCTCGTTTACCTGGCAGAGCTGAGAATCAGTTCTCATTGACTGAAATCACAGTTAATTGAGAGTTACCTTTCAGGGCTAGGGATTTAGCTTAGTGGTTTTGCCGCCTGCTACGCAAGCACAAGGACCCGAGTTCAATCCCCGGTACCAAAAAAAAAAAAAAAAAAAGAGTTACCTTTCAACAATAGAAATTAGGCAATAATTCTGGCATAACAAAATTCACTTAGAGCTACCCTTTGTATACAGCATCCTCTTGCCATACTGGCTTGAACAGAAAGGTGGCACAGCAGACCCTGAGGAAGATGCCTTTTCCCCTGAGTGTCTTTACTTTCTAATAAGGCCTAAACTGCAGAAAATTTTAATCTCTATATCTTAAAAACTCTGAATATATGCATATTTTTATGCATATAAAATATACATTATATATATATAATAGATGCATATTTTAACAATATCTTAAGCATCAATTGAAAGTTCAGTTTTACAGATGGGAAAATTGAGGAAGAAAGGTTACACATCTATTATGTAATAATATTACACAGAAAACTGTGAGGCCATTCATCCTGCAATAACTGTCATCCACAAAAACTGTAAACACAGTGCTTTGGAGGCTCAGAGATGGCTGGGACAAAGCACAAATATCACATCTGAGTCAGCTTTTGGAATGGACTGCCAATACCAAAGTACTTTCAATAGGCAGAGAAATCAGCTTCAATGCTGATGTTGATTTTCAACAGGTTAAATTTGACATCCTGATGGC